AAGAAAACTTGTTGCTCGACTTACGTGGCCCATCGCCAACTCGGGACTTACGTCGACTTCTTGTCGTGGCAATAATCGTTTAGAGTCGGGAAGAGCGGCGACACGACAATACCAGGAATGCATTCCGTCGCGGCGTGTCGTCACCGGAAGAAGAATTCATATCCACCGGCCGCGATTTGTACGTTTTCAACACATCGCGCAGCTTCAAGTGATTCAAACTCGCTGCTACGCCGTGAACCTTTAGCCCTCTGGCTACTTATTAACTTATTAGGAAACCTTAATTCTTCTCTCTCCCATCGAAGAATAATCGCGGCTATTTTCCGCTCGTGATCGAAACTCCCTCTTCGCTGCCACGTCAACTCGAGGTTCTGTACAAAATTATAAATTAAAATGTAATTTTGTGTGTAGTCGAGTTTTATGAATAATTTCGCGTACTCCGAGGTAATTCAATTTCCTCGCAATGGACGTCTTTGTGTGTCCAAAGTAAGAGAGGGTTGGAGGATCGAAGCTCTCTCGTCGGCCATTGGTCAACATTACCGTTAAACTTCTCTGCGGCAAAGGACTAACATTCACAATCTCGAAATATCTCTTGTTGATTTTAAAATAATAATAATCTTTATCTATAGTAATACCCTTCAATATACATGATAAATATTGCGGTAGATGGACGGACAAATGATAAGTGTAACAAACCGAGTAATAAGAAGTTAAAATAATAAATAATATATTTGTATTTTTACGAGCTTTGGCTATTATGTAGGTGATTCGTTCATGATCAAATATATGGAATTAACTTCGAGGAATTGTCTCAATTACTAAACGTGCGAGAAGGAACATGTTTTTATATGTTCTTATATTTTTAAAATATGTATTCTTACATTCTTGTAATCAAATTATTTCCCGAGATTATATTTCAATAAAATTATCTTTTTTGCGATAAAATTGTTTTCCGAGATTGCTGCCGAGATTGCCGAAATTTTCGGATACGAGTCGTAAACATCGCGCTAAGTAGTTACAAACGCGCTATGGTCAGACGGCGCCTGCCTACGTATTCCGTCTGTATCTACTTAAAGCGCGATGTTTGCAGCTTGTGCCTCGTGGATGCAATCTCGGAAAATAATCTTACCACACATAGTTGAGTACTTGGTTAGTAGTTGCGTTTGGAGTAGTTGCGTAAAGCTCTCTACAATGTTTGCCTTTACAGAAATTTTGAAGTTTATAAAAATAAGGATTTATAAAAATAATAAGGGAACAAGTATGTTGAAAAAAATATGACATTTGCGAAAAATCAGAGGCAAACATCACGAACATTATTAAAATTTTATTTATTTTTCTTTCCAAAAATATAAAATATAAAACATGGAATTGTTTTATTAAAACGGGAATTGTTTTATTAAAACGGGAGAAATAACAAAATAAAATAATAATTAATATTTTTATTTTATTTTTTACAACCTAATAGAGAATTTGTGAAATTCAATTATGGCAAATTATACGATAAAAGAGCAATGTATCAAAATCATTGAATTTTACTTTTAAAATAAGCAATAAATTATTTTAACACGACGCGCTTATTGTCATTTTAATGTTAGAATATCGCTATTTGAGTCAATGATTCGGCGATTGCTTGCATATTTTCAGTAGCAGTAATTAGTTGCTGATCTTTCTCGAACTAGTAGACAACGGTCAGTTCAAACTGACCAAAATTTTGAGCGAATCAAGGCAGCGTTCAAGAAAATGCTGTAAAAAAGCCAAAATTTGTGAAACTGAAAACGGCGGCTATTTAAAAAATGTTATTTTTCGTTCTTAAAAAAGAATTTTCATGTTCTATATATTTTAAAGAAGAAAGATAAATAGAAATAAAGAACAGAAAAATTAAAATTCGTTCATGACTCCTACACATCAAATAGCAATAAAACGTTTGCAGGAAATTCCTTCCTGAATCACGGCTTCGAGGGTATCTATTCACGATCAAATCGATGGAATTAACTTGAATGGGTTAGTTCGACTTCTAAACGAACGAGAAAGCGCTCACAAGAAACATATATTTCTTATTTTCGATTTGTTTACGACATATCCAAGACTCATCGACCTGAACTTCCTTTTGTAAGTACGCCGCTCGTAATAGCCGCGCGTAACGTTTCTTCAGAGTGACGAGGACGGGCAGTGGAAGAAAGAAATTCATTTCCCCTTTTGATGCGAGGGCACAATAGTTCTCAGCATCGTGCGGGCACCTCGGAACGGAGTCGGCGAATACAAAAGAGAACAAAACACCGCGCGCGCTTCGCTTACTTTGGCTTTACTTAGACGAAACTTTTCTCTCGATCACACACACATCCTCTTCTCTCCTCTCTCCCACCTCTGCTACCGTTTCTGGCGGTAAGGCGCGCGTTATTCTCTACTTGCGCGCGGTAATAGCCCGTTGCGAAAAGAAATCGATCGATACGCTGTGGCAAGCGTATTCCTTTTGTTTACGTAAAGTAGACATAAACGATGTATACCGACTTGATGGTGTTTCCTCAGCGGCGAATCAACTTCTACGATGCCGCACTCAGAACGGAGAAACTATGTTCAACTTTTGCATGTATGTATATATACACAGTACTGACCCACTGTACGCGCATTTTCCCGGCGAACTTAATAATATATAATTCACCAGCGCGATGTAACACCAAAGTAGGAATACATTTCCTTCGTCTGTGACGGCCAATAGACGTACTTCTTTTTCATCATGACGAAAAACGCGTCGAACGAGAACCTGGTACGTTTACATGAAGGAATCCTCGACATTCAGAGAGAGAGAGAGAGAGAGAGAGAGAGAGCGAATTCATTTCCTTCCCCTTTCGTCTTCGACACGCAAGATCTATTTCCAGTCGAGGTGGAAAAGAAAGAGGATGAGCTACAGGTCGATTCAGGGTGAGTCAATGAGCGATTCGATTGATGAAGCGATGATCGATGAGCGAGCGCGCTTGTCGGGCAGTGGTTCATCTCGCAGCGGAGCGCGTCCCCGATATGCCGAAGATTACAGGTGGTTGGTAGATTACATTCGACAGACGTAACCGTGTGTGGTATTGGCCTATCGGTCAGGGACTCGCTCATGGCAGATACTATAGCTCCGAGTGTACCTTAGACAATGGCAACGGCAGCACATACTTGCCGCCACAACAAGTTGCCACGTGACCTTAATGGACTTTCGATTGAATTCCCTCGGATGGGGAGGGTGCATCGCGTGATACCTGACCAGCACGACCGCACGACACGCGCGATGCACGGTACGCGCACGAACCCACAACCGTGGAAACCCACACACATCTGAGCGCGTCGCCGCGCCAAACAGAGGCCAAACATTTACTCCCCCGAATCCGGGCCATGGGGTCGAGAGAGTTACGGAATGATTTTTGTTAACGATCGGCGATTAGCCGCTGCTTGGGCACCGAGAAAGGCTCCCGGAAATGTTCCAAGCCGAGCTGCAGCACAGAGCTAATCGAGACGTTGTCTCTGGGAGATCGCCAATTCCATTTCGCGCAGTGAAACGCGAAACTGCCCTGCATCCGCTTCGCGGAGGAGAAAGAGAGAGAGAAAGGGAGAGAGGGAGAAAGAATGACGACTATGGCGAGTCGCCGAGCGCGCACCGACGCGAGGAGCCCTGAAAACTCGATCTCGCCGGCTGGCTCGTCGAAACGGACCGGTCGGATTGCCGTGAAATTGGAGCGACCGGGAGTCGTAGCGGGGGTGGGAAAAAAGGGAAAACAGGAAGCGGCAATGCCGGCAAATGTGTCCAATCAATGTGTACACTAATAATCAGCGCGCAATACCGTCACATCCAGCGGCAAATGTAGATTATGAAAACGCAGCAACATACACGTAACAGCAGCATAGCGCATACACGCGCACACATACCAGTAATAATAATTGTGGTGGTGGTGGTGGTAGTCTGTATTGGCGGAGGGACTTTGGACTTGCGGGAATGTGTGATGTTTCGGAGACTGGGAGTTGCTGCTTGCGAAAGTAGCTTGACCACCGCACGTAGAACCGGCGATGCATTCGTCGTTATTCAAACGAAAGTGCAGCGCGAGAAATGGAATGTAGCGGGCAAGAAGCAAGGTTCCACTGGTGGAACGGTCAATAGGCAATGATTGCTTATAGCCAACGATTTTAATGTAATGCAAGGAGCGCGGATCGCGTAATGCCCAGCTCTCGTGCGATAGTCGAACGCCTTTTGGCAATGGTATTGCGGGCGGGCAATCGCTATACAATATTGACGGTGTGTCCATGGCAATCAATACAACACAGCGCGCGGCAGCCACCAGAGCCAGTTACCAGTCGCCAGATCTGATCGTAAGGTACAAATGACAATAATAACAATAATAAGAGTCAAAAGTAATCGTGTGGTTACGCGCGTACATATATGTATAAAATCTCGTACACATGGAGAGAATTTTATAGTAAGCATTACTATGGAATTTTTTGATTGAGAAATGGATAGACGTCCTGCAATAATTTATTATCTTTTCGTCTCATACATGCTATTTGTATTTGAAATGTCCCAGGCAGCACAATCTATTAAAAGATATCTTAGAGTTATTTCAAAGACATCCAATCTCTTTTAGATATCCTTTGGACGTCCTTCAAACATTTTTTAGTGTATTGTTTGGGACGCTATTAAAAAATTTGCGTTCTTTAGCAAGACCTGACTGACAGTCTACTCCTGCACCGCTGGAAGCAAATTGAAAAGGGTTTGCATGAGAAGAAAAAAACTATAACATTCTCTCCGCATGTATATGTTTATACAAAAATCCTTTTATACATATACGTATATATGCGGGTGTATGGGGACAACAGTGTGTCGCTGCACAGATCAAAATATGTAAGGCAAACGCAGTACACATATGTAATGGTATCATGTATAGGACGAGAACCATGGATGCTGCGCTCGTCGCATTCGGGTATGGAGTGCAAGACCAGAGTTAGGTACCGGCGAGCACGAGCTGCCCACAAACCTGTAATAGCGATCTTCGCCGACCACTTGCTGGTACCGTCCAAAACCGACTGCTCCACCGACATCATGTGACCCGAGTGCGCCTTCTCGTCGACCCCGAAGACTGACCTAAACTCCGACGAGACTTTCTTTCACATGAGCTGTGCCAACGGCCGCGGTCTCGTCCTATCCGCTCTTATACGCGCGAATCGCCAAGTCGCGCCAAGTCCCGTCGTCCCGTCCGCGAACCACTTCGGCGCGAATGACCTCGCGGGAAAATCGTCCCGGCCATGAAAGATGTCACTTCTGATCTCTGTCTCCTCCCTTTAGCGACGCTTGAGCTCGAAAGAGCGAAATCTAAGTCGACGCCGAATTTGAGTCGACGTTCTCTCGCGATCTCGCGGATGAAAACCGCGCTTTCATGGCCGGCGATCCGCGAAGCGCAACGCGTCGCAGGACGACCCGACGCCGGCTCGGCGACCTTCGAGAGCTCGGAGATTCTCTTTGTAGGACAGACCGTTTGTTAGACGGCGCCGTTTCTCGCTGAATTTGTCCCACATCGCGAGCAAAGGCCGCGCATACGAACGGAAGGACGGTGGGACGAGTTGGTCAATCGAGCCGATGGAAATTTTTCGCCGGACAAATGGCCGATTCTAATTAAAGCGGCTGGTCATCGATCAAGCCGCTAATGAGAACGTTGATTGCCCGATGACGTGGTATCGTCGCTCGACCGGCCGATATCCTACCCGGGGACTCTCATATTGGAGCTCCTGTTGGAGCCGAGTTGGACTTGTAAGGTGACCAGATCTCCCAGTTTCGAATCCGGGACACTTCACAAATATGTCAATGGGAGAGGGGGAGAGGGGATAAAAGGGTCACTGAAAATTATTTATATATACACACATGTGTAAAACCATGGACGTAATACATGGACGGAGCGAAAGGTGCGATTATATACGAGAGGCTGTGAAGCTCAAGGGGTAAGAGAATTACATTGTCGCGGCCATGTTGGTGTCGGAGTTTTTATCTACTATCTATGTATAAAAACAGCGACCGTCGCCATAATGATATGTCAACTCCAATACATACAATCATTTCCCTTATCCCTTGGGCTTCACCCCTGCAATTCACTCCATGTATTCTTACGTCCATGTATTCTTACGTCTATGTGTAAAACAACATTTTACTTATATTACACTGAGAGAAATTATCCGATAAAAAATTAACAAACGGATCAAAATAACGATGAATTTTTATATTCGATCAGGATATCCGATCGAATCTAATATTTCCGATAAATAATAATCTTCAGTGAATAATTTCTCTTCAGTGTAAAATTTAACACCAACGAAGATCTACTACACACGGTGAAAACAGAAGCTATTGCTGAGACGAAATATTGTTAGTCTCATTTAAAATTAAGAAGAAGAAAAACCGAGTTGGCGCGTTTACTGGAGCTTGAGAATGTTTCTCTTTGAGAATAGCATATTAAAGCTCCTTTGAGCGAAATAAACCAGGACAGTTTGGCCGAATCTGGAACAAAGGGTGTTGAAGAAATTGTGACTGTACCGGGGAGAACGGGACGTCTGGTCACCTCAGAACTTGGCATGCGTCTTTCGTTCGCTTCAGAGAAGACGAGACCGGACCTCACTTGCTTGTGCCGACGGTTTTGCTTGGTTCGTCGCTCGTCCATCTTCCCTCGCGTCTACGACGCGTCGTGTCTTGCGCCCCGTTCATGTCTCATTTATTGTCGCCACTGCACATCGCCATGTTCGCTGCGGGTTCTACTTTTGAAAACGACGCGAATTGTCCCGTACTCGTTGTCGACGCGCGCCCGATGCGCGTCGCAACCTTAATTGATAATTAGTTCTCGCCTTAATTGATAACTACACGGAAAGAAAAGATTTGCTAATATATGAACAACTAAAAATATTAGCTGCAGGAGCAAATTTTCTTGCTTTCATAACAAAGTTATTTAGTTGTAATAGCTAAAAGATTTGCTAATATATATATTAGCAAATCTTTTAGCTATCACAACTAAATAACTTTGCTATGAAAGCAAGAAAATTTGCTCCTGCAGCTAATATTTTTAGTTGTCCATATATTAGCAAATCTTTTTTTCCGTGTAGTTATCACTGAGGGCGTGAAATTAACTGCGATATTTTCGGCACCATACACGGCATACATGCGGCTGTCGCCGATATTTCTTGCGCTGCCGCGCCAAGAGTCGATCGCAAGCCCGTCGCCGTTCGCGTCGCTTTATCCCGACGGTCGATGTATAACGATCGCTGCAGCTGTTCCACTAATTTCGAGCACTAATTACGCCGCGGGGCTGAATTACGCCGGCGAAAATAGCGAAAATATCCGGGGATATTAATGCGTGCCCGATTAATTCGCGTCGTATACTGTCCTGTCCTGTCGCTCGAGCGCCGCCCGTTTATCGGTCCGTCTGTGTGCTCGTCCGAAGTGTGACTCGCAGAAAAAAAAAAATGATTAATATCTCTCCCCTTTGACGACGCGGCGGGACAATTAATCGCGAAACGCGCGTCGTTCGCAGTTTATTTTTGTCGGACGGGGAGAAAAAAGGGAAAAGGAATACACACATCCGTGATATGCTAATGCCGGACTAATTGGACGCGCATATCGATTCGCCGGAGCGCGACCCCGCTCGCGCGACTATCGGACTATACGCGCTCTATGTGTAATGCGGCGATATTAATTAACGCGTTGATTTTCATTAACCGGCCGGCTGGCTCGCGCTTTTATCGGCCCGGCTTTTACGGAGCTCCCGCGCGTGCATAACTCTGCTTCCTATCGTCAACTCACACGCACGCGCGTGCGTGTTTATATATTCGCTTTCACGCGTCGCGCAAGCCGACTACTCGGCTAATAAGATCGAGATGCAAAACCCCCGCATCGGCGCGCGTTGACGGAGATATCTCGCGACACTTAATTAATTAGGACACGAGCGACGGCGGGCGCAGCGGCGGATTGACGCGCGAGGCGCGCAAACGCGAGATTAGACGTTTGTTGTAACGACGTGTCTAAACCGCGCGAGCGTTATTCACTTAGCACTCGCTGCAACAAGCAGCTTGAAACGGCGGCGTTCCGTATGAATCTCTGATCAACGTCAAGATACCAGTCGCGCACGCTAATCGGACTTTATTCGTTGCATCGGACTTTATGCGTAAACATTGTTCGCGTGCAGCTATATAAACAATTGTTTTTCAATAGCGACGTACAGGATATTTCATTTACGTACAGGTTGGAGTACGACGGGTTGCCTATCCGTTTCGCTGGTAGGCTCACTTTCTCTCCCATGAAATTTAAAGTTCCAAGGTTGCATTCCAAATTCCCTTTTGAGGAGAATTTTATTTGACTCTATAATATTCTATAGTAGTACTCTATAGTACTCTATAGACTCTATAGTATATGTAACGTGAACTATAGGTATTAAATAAAATCTTCGAGGACGTTTTGGAACGTAACCCAAGTGAGCATTCGTCGCCAAGGCCTACTCAGGCCATGCACAACTGCTTGTCGGCGAAACGCACATACGGAAAAAAAGGATTTGCTGCAAACTAATTTGCTGTATATGGACAGTTAAACATGATTCGTTAGCTACTTTTTCTTTGTTGCAGTAACCTATTTCCTTGCTATGATAACAAGAACATTTTCTTCTACTATGTAAAAACTGATGTGTTAAATTTACACATAAATGAGAGTGGATGATTTGAGACACATAAAATGTTAAATTTAACACATCTCCTACTCTGTAAAAACTGATGTGTTAAATTTACACATAAATGAGAGTGGATGATTTGAGACACATAAAATGTTAAATTTAACACATCTCCTACTCTGTAAAAACTGATGTGTTAAATTTACACATAAATGAGAGTGGATGATTTGAGACACATAAAATGTTAAATTTAACACATCTCCTACTCTGTAAAAACTGATGTGTTAAATTTACACATAAATGAGAGTGGATGATTTGAGACACATAAAATGTTAAATTTAACACATCTCCTACTCTGTAAAAACTGATGTGTTAAATTTACACATAAATGAGAGTGGATGATTTGAGACACATAAAATGTTAAATTTAACACATCTCCTACTCTGTAAAAACTGATGTGTTAAATTTACACATAAATGAGAGTGGATGATTTGAGACACATAAAATGTTAAATTTAACACATCAGTTTTTACAGTGTACAGTAAGAAAAGTGGCTAACGTAGCAAATTTGCTACAGATGGACAACCAAACATAATTTACTGCTTTAGCTACTTTTTTTGTTGCAAGTGTAGATTTTCTTGTTATCCTAGCAAGAAAATTAGCTCCTGTAACAAAGAAAAAATGGCTAACACAGCAAATTCTGTTTAATTGTCCATATATATGTATGTAACAAATCTTTTTTTTCCATGCAGGCAACTAACTCTCTTAAAGTGAATCAGTGAATAATCACTGATATCAGTTATAAGTATAGCACTGAGCACTTTCAGTGCAACATTATAACTGCAAATCAGTATGTATTCACTGTTTTCAGTGATGTTTCACTGATTCATTTTAAGAGAGAAGATTACTAAACTGTCGAAACAACAACTGGTGTTATTGTCAACGAGTTTGCGCGAAACGAGATCGGATGGGAGATTCCAACTAGAACTCCACGGCAAAGAAGTATACAAATGTCAATAGCGATTTTATTGAGCGCGTGATATTAATTCGCGAGATCATTTCGCGTCGGCGAGAGAGGGCTTGTTCGAATTCGCGAGGATAACACGTTTATTGAATGAGCGGTTTCCCCTGGCCCCTCCATCGCCATTCCCTTCATCCATACCCACCCCCGCCGGCCAGTCGCCGTTAAATCAATAATATCGCGAAGATTATTATTGCAGGCAAATGTATTATGTTGTTATGCGCGTGTATTCGATACACAATTCTCTCGATAGACCGTAGGACTTGTCGATTTGTCTTTTTTGGAGGAGGAAGGGAGAGTGGGAGCATATGGTGTCGCTCTCGCGAATCCTCGAGCCCATAATTTTAATAGATTAATACTCGACACTGATCCCAGGGCGTATTGTGGCGCATTTCCGCCACGCGCGCGCAACGATTTCCCGCGAGCGAGATCCATCTTTGCGCCGTAATACATCTTTTCCCTCGAGCTTCGCGACTTAATCGCGACTGAGCTTGCAGGGCTCGGGGGCGCGCGGGCGAGTTTCGAAACGAAAAACAGCAACACGCGAACGGATTGTAAGAGTCGGTGGTGGTTTCTAAATTAGCCCGCGATTAAAAGGACGACTTTGAACGGCCTTCTCGCTCGCGAGAATCCGCCAAACGGTTCGGCGAGGAGCGGCACGAAGTTTTTCCCCCCGTAAGGTTTCGCACGACGGTGTGCAGCGATCGTGTGTCATCGATCTCGGGACATCAATCAGGTAGGCACGCCAGTCCGAAAATAGCGTGGCAGTGGCGACGAACGGCCGGTAAATCGCGGCGAGTTCGACCTTTAACATCTCGCTCGTCCTCGAGCTACGAGCCGCGTGTCAACAGGGCGACCGACAAATGCGGTTTTTGCACAATACGTCGCACTTGATCGCGACTTACTTGGTCGTGATACTGGCGCTGTGTGACAAAAGGAAAGAAGAGAAAAGCTGCGGCGACACGACGACGGCCGCGGTAAGCGAACACTCACCGAATCAGCTCGAAGATCTCCGGCTTCTCGCGCTCCCTCTGCTTCATCCGCTCCTTCATCGCTGTGATTATGCTGATCGCCTTGTCCTCGGCGCCGTGCTTCGAGCTCTTCTCAGCCGCCCCTGCAGAAGCAACGAACGATACAATAGAAGCGAGAAACAGCGCGACGCACGGAGAGAATTCTATTACTGCAGAATTTCGTAATCGAGATTGACACTCATCTATTATTCTCTTGTCTCATATGCGCTGCTTACACACGTTAGGAGTCGAAATGTGTCATTAAAACATTTGCTATGCTCAGCGAAATTTATTATGTACTTCAGCAAAAATACCTTACTGACAGTCCATTCCTGAACTGTTAAAGACATGCAATATTAACAAGAATTTCTATGAAAAGAAACTGTAATGTTGTCTCTCGCCGTGTGAAATATATGTGCCGGCACCCGTTTCGCCAATATTCGCGGAGGCGTACGGTTATTTCGACGCGTCATTAACGCTACGTTAATAAACAAATTCCCAGTTAAATATTTAATCGGATTATCGATTATCCCTCGATTGGCTCCCGACACGAACGCCGATATAAAATATTTTGCTTCGCTCGGAGATAGGAAAGCAGGCATTGGGGGAAGGGACAGACAGAGAGACAGAAAAGGAGGAAGAGAGAAAAGAGAGGAAAAATTATATTTCGCGAGTAAAGATTTATTATATAATCTGGGGGTGCTAGTTGTGTTCTTCAACGTGCGCCGATTAATATTATTGATAAAACGCTTATCAAAATAAATAAAAGATGGGAAAAATGTATACACGCTTGCGATTTTGCCCCGGGATCAGAATTCTATATCGCCTCGCCGCCAACGAGAGAGAGAGAGAGAGAGAGAGAAAGGGAGGAGGAAGGGAGAGGAGAGTGAGGGAGAGAAAAAGAGCGTGATTCCGCATATCAATCGCACTGATCGAATAATACCGTACGTTTTCACGCTCAGGTATCAGCCCGGATCGGCGCTAATATTGTAACACCATATAACGGTCGGTGTTGCGTTTCGCAAAATTGCATACGAACTGGAAGACATGACGTATCGCGTTGAGCGATAATAGATGACCGTGCGTTTCCGCGGCGTGGCGTAATAGTCGCGTCGATTTTGATTACCGTATTAATCTACGAGCATCAGATACGTTAAATGCGGCCAGGGGGGTCTGGTGGCACGGGAGCTTTTGCAAGCGCGACGCGCGATTCAATATGATGAAACACGATCGCGGTGTGTCGATCTGGTTTCCGAAGCTCCTCGCGCGAGCGAGACAATTCCGTGCAAGGAATTTTCCCGCAATCACCGATTTCTCACTCAGACCCGACTGCTCACCGGAGAACCGCATGTCGCGAGATAATCAACCGGTTACGGGGAAAAGGAGAGAGCGCGGAAAGGCCAAACGCGCAATACGACGCGACACGATCGTCCCTCGGGGGAACACCCGGTATATCGAAGTTACATCAGTCGGCGGTGTATGAGTGGGAATTAATCGAGAACGGAATTACGGGGCAAACTGTGGCGCGGCGGCGAGTCGCCGACAATGAGAGAGCAATAGCGCGCGCAAGAGTGAGAGAGAAGAGGGAGGGAGGCTGTAAATTAATCGTGGACTGTCCGATCAAGGAAAGAAACTTTATCGGCCACGAGTTCGGGACAGGAGAAGGTAAAAGGGGTAGAGGGAATCATTAGTCCGGGGGCGCTACACAAATCGATAGCGAATAGTGTTCAAGCGAAAAGGGATATACGATCGCGGAGAGTGGGAGGATTCCGCCTGGGATCAAATTGAAAATCTGATGGACGAGCAGCCGGGCATTAGGGGGGCTGTCATCGTTATTTCCCGATCGCGCCGTCGGAACAGTTTACAAAATTCGCCGTAATCGTTAGTCGATTCTTTACCGGACCGAGAAATGCGGGCCGAAATAGATTTAGAGGATCATTCAACAATTACGTCCACTACGAAGGAGGAAGGGATGGGTTCTATCAGCTTGCGTGAGGGTTTGTGATAGCAGAAAGTGGGGAAGGGAAGAGCAAAGATCATGGAGCATCACACGTATTTTGTATCAAAATTTTTATAAGAATATTATGTTCTATAAAAATAATTTTATTTCGTGTTAACAATCAAAATTCTAATTCTGCAATATTTATCTTTTTAAAAGCACAACTTCTGTCAAGTAAAATTAAGAGACAAAGTAATTAATTTGATATTTTGCTTAGAAGAATTATTTGTATTTTAGAAAAGGACAATAGCGCGGTCTAATAATATATTTTACTCACAATATATGATTATAAGTTATTAATTAAAACTACCCGGCGTTATCTAAGTTATCAAAGTGTCAAGGAGATGAAAGCAAGGCGAGAGGGTGTGATAGGATTTCATGGTAGTCTATATTTTCTACAGGCTCCTAGAGAGTAACTATGCAAAATTTGGTCTAGATCGGTCAAAGGGTTTAGGAATTTATAGGGAACATACAGATAGACATTCTACTTCGTATATATAGATTTTTGCATATTCTATGTGGGAGGAGGATTCCACATGTCACGTAATATCGGAAAGGGGCGCAAACTTTGCGACGGAGGGTGACAGGAGGGAGAGAGAGAGAGAGAGAGAGGCAGGGATAAAAAATACTCAAGTTTCGCGTGACGTGACTGTTGAATGGCGCTTTACGACCGAGCTTTCGCGGAAAGTTATTTCACCGCGTCGGCCGGCCAATTCGTAAAAATTTCGCACGCGCGCGGACGTTTTAACACAAGTCGTCATAAATCGATTTTATGAGACGAGAATAATATTCGTTTATTGACGCGAGACGCGACACGCCGGACGACGGAAATAGCGGCCGGCCGAGCGACGAAGCGTGCGCGTCGCAAGAAGCGACCAACAGACGTCGAAACGTGTTTAATACGCGAAGGCGGTTAATTATTAATTTGTTCCGAAGTGACGGCCGCACGAGGATGACAAAAAAGTCTTTCGAATGCATGTCCGTTCGTTTGCTGCTCTCTAAAATCTGCTTAACGAACCTCAAGACTCTTCCTCTCCCTCTCCCATTCTCTCTCTTTTTCTCTCCCCTTGACCTCGCTCGGTTTTTGTTCCTTCTCCCGCGCGGCGATCCTGATTTTATTACTGCCCGCTTGTTAATAGGTGGAGCTCTTAATTACGATGACTTATTGCGCGTCGAAGCGTAGCCTCAGCGACTTCGACGGCGCGGAGTCTTCGAGACGTGTCTATTATCGTTCTCGACGAGAGACAATTTCGAGTACTCGAATCGACTTTATGAGACATCACGCCCATACTTCTCGGGCGTTTCTAGAACGTTCGGTACAAGCACGCAGATAAATCCCATCGTTTATCTCGCTTCGTTACAATGGCTACGCAAATACGCGCGATGACACCTAGCGTGACGCAAGCTAATTTATTGAAGACGATATCATCAGCTCTCCGCGGAGAAATCCCGCTGTAATTAATTATATTACTTTGCTGGCTATTCTCTTCCCAAGAACCCTGTCGTTTGTATAATCACCGCGTTTCATCGACCGCAATTTACCCCGATAAGAAATAAATATAAGTAATTTTATAATCAGAATGTATCGAGTCAGTGTCAAACAGCCCGGTCCGATTTTCTGTCTTCTTTGACGAAAAACCGGCAATTTTCTGTGATAAAGGTTTTCTACGAATGTACCCAAAGAAGGTGCCCAAAGAAATATAATCTCATCCTTAACGGAATCATCTGAATCCTAGAGGATTTCATTCTTACACACAGAGAGAGAGAGAGAAAATTTAAGAAAATATTTATTCGGTGGATGCTAATAACAAGAGGATTTAGATTTAAGTAAATATTTCAGAAATTAAGGCAAGCAAGAGCCAAACGCCGTTGTTGAAACGAAAGAAGGTCAATTTGAATCGCATATTAAAATTATAAATATGTATAATAAGTGAACGTTTCGGTTCCATTGGGATCCTCTTCAGCGCATAAAATATATAATTTATTATACATTTGTAATTATAAAAACAATTTAAATTAACCTTCATTCACTTCAATAACGACGTTTGGCTCTTTGTTTTAATTTCTCAAGTTTGATTGTAGATCTTGAGAGCCTTATCATTTGCACTCAAGTAAATATGTTATTAGTACCGCTAAAAATATTTTTGTTATCTTTTAAACATATTTATTCTAATTATATGACTCCAAGAATGATTCTTTCGAAACCAAAAGGAAAATATTCTAAACACAATATTCTTGCAGCAAGAGAAATGCTTCCCGATAAACATGTTCCTCTTAGTTCAAAGGGAGAAGAAAGAATAATATCTAGTAGACTTCAAATTAACAGTTTACTTTGTTAGAAGAAAGATAGTCTTTCGGCACAGGTTTCTACTTGGAATATGGGATTGCAGGAAATAGCAGCTTGCAACTACAGTTCTTCTTTTTTTGAAGGTATATATTAGAACGTCGCTGAAGAGTCATAGACAATTACTTGGCCGACGAACAATTGGTCTGTATGAAATACAGCGAAATGAAATTTGACTTGAAAATTGAGGCGAACTTTTGGGTTGAGCCAATGAACCTCGTAACGCGGATCATAGAATCATCGATAACCGCGCTCGGCGGCCAAACGCGATGGATACGGAGCATAAAAAGGCTGGCGTTATTACTTACTCTGCAAGCAGTCGGCGTTCAGGAGATCCTTGCACTTCTCGTGACACTTGACGCCGCACTCCATGCAGCGCACCCCTTGCCGTGCGATGCCCCAAAGCAGACCCTCGCACTCGTAGCAGTAGGTGGGCGATGTGGCCGTCCAAGTGACGAAATTGTGAGGAGTAGTCGAGGATATTGGGTAGATCATCGCCTGCAGGGTTTTCTTGTACACGTGCATCTTCTGCGGGTGTACGATCGAGCGATTGCATCGCCGTTAAAAATCACAGCACTCGAGGTCTGACTTGAAGGAGGAACGGGAGACTTGGCAGACGCGAGCGGGTCTCTTTTGCGCAAACAAACTCGCGTTCGCTTCTCTCGCCACTTCGGTCCTCTGCTCGGTACAGAGTTGACATCGCGCGAGAGACGACGGCGACGACGTCGTCGCATTCTTTGCCGTCCGGCGCGTCTCGTCGAGTCTCTCGATTCTTCCGGAATTTCCTCGATGTAATGCTCGATCGAGATGACGAGACGCGGTGCGTCTCTCCGGAAAATTTTCAGATTTTATTCCGCGGGCATCACGTCGCGTTTACCGCGACCCAATGAATATGTCGTGCCCGACGTTCGCAAATAAGCCAGCGAATCACGACGAATCACGGTCTGCTATAAAATTCTATTAGCCGCGCGTATGAAAAATCGAAACCAAACGGATTATACACATACCGGAAATCGTATTGTATACATCAGTCTATCAGCGGGGCTATTCCCGATTGAGGAATTGAGATCGCTATGCTCATCCTGACCTTTCGTGAAAATTGCTCTTTCAACTTGTTGCCGTATTATTTTTATCGATCTCGCGGCCGTTCATCGGTTCCATTCAGATGCACGGGGGACAAAGAGTTTGTTTGAATTCGAAGTTCGGAAGTTCGTCTGGTGAGACGTGAACAAATCAGAAATTCCGGTTGGAGTCACCAGAAATTCGTTCGAGTCAACAAGACTTCTGGTTGAGTAGAATCCTGTTAACCTGAACAAGATTCTAATAACTTCTCAGACGGAATTCTGATGTTCATATTTCGCCAGGCATTTGGTTAATTCGATCAAATTCTTATTTTCCGTGGCCGTCTCGACTTAAAATCGCGCGTTTCGAGCAGAGAACCGAAGGATTTTCATTTTCTCTCTCTCGTCCGTCCGAATGTTCGCCAAGTCTCTCTCTTGAAAAATCGGCATATGTAAATAAATGCTCGCTCGTTAATCGGAGATCTTCGTGCTTTTGGATCTCTTGCTCGCATACTCGGTTCAAAGTGCGCGCAAACCATATGCATACGCAAAGTCTTTTTTAGTTTCTTTCTTTTTTTTCCTCTTTAAGGAGGACCCCACGTGCGAGGTTCCGCGACAGCAAAGCGAACTGGATACGCTAAGAGGCGTTTTCAGGCGACCTCCCGGCATCTACTCCCGCGTGCCTCTCGAAAACAAGAAGAATGACTCTCTCGTCGTTCGGCGGTTTTCGAGGGCGTCTCTATCGTATTCTTTTCTTCGCCGTATCTTTCTTTCATGCTTGAAGGGATCACCTAGGATCACCTATACTCGCGAGCATACGTACACGAGCTTCTCACGGTTCGTAAGGAGATCATTCCGTCACGTTTGATATCGGACATCCAGAATTTTCACGCGCCATCTCTCTTCCGCCTTTCTCGGGACGCGTTTTTACGCTCTCCCTTTCCTACCATTCCTTTTGCTCCTCGTAAGGTCCCGCACGTGGAGCGCTCCGTAGAGGAAGGTGACAGAGAGGAAAAAGAGAGAGAAAGAGAAAGAGAGAGAGAGAGAGAGACGGCGCGCTTTCCGGATGTCGTGCTATCCGGGCAGAGAGCGAGAGAGATAGAGAGCGCGCGGGGGTGTAAAAGCATCGATCCGCTAAGAAGCACTATGGGAGTAACGTGTGAGCTCGGTATGTTCCTCTGGTGCATCAATCTTTCTGAATCCGTATAGCCCGCTTCTCGACATTCGCTCCCGGAAGCTGATGTAAGAAAGTAACTGCGGTTTTACCGGCCAAGGACCACGTGTGACGTGCGTTGACCGCGCTCGTATTTACCGTTCGCGAGACCATCAGTGAGCCGCCTTGGTGTCGGCCGAATCTTAGGTATACGCCGGACGTCTAAATGAATTGTACATGCGCGAGCTTCCGGAATATATCTCGTTAGCGCGTGTCGCGCGTCAAAGTGGAAAAGAACACCAGTTATTCGAGGAACATCCGACGTCACAGGGATCGGAAACTCCTGGCACTAGCCTAGCTATTTCTCTCTGACGCGGTACCCTCTGCCGTGATACTTCGCGTAGATCCCTACAGGCGTTCTCTATGTGTATCCTCACGCGTGTATACACGTGTGTGTGTGTGTGTGTGTGTGTGCGTGTGTGTGTGAGGGAGGAGACGAGCTTGGCGTATCGACCACTACTTTCTCATCTGATGGATACGTGGACACGTATGCACGCGAATTCCTCTCGCATACGCGTTTGCGCGACGTTCGCGAGCGCGCACCACGCGCAGACACACACACGCTCACGTGTTTTGTCCTAGCCGCTAATATATTTTACACTAAGTCACGCTGCTACGCGTTGCTCCAAAGTAATATAAATAGACACAGAGTAGAGAGATAGATAGAGAGAGAAAAGGAAAGAAAGAGCAGAAACAGGCTCATGTGGGCCACACTTACGTGAAAGAAAATAGCGTGGAAATGAGGATAAAATGCAGCACGTTTCGTATGAAAAGAAAAGAGAGTCCAATGGTTAAAAGTCGAGTTCCTTCGGGGCGGATCTCGCCGGTATTGAAGACTTAAAATTAAATGACGTGCGACCTAACACGCCTGCCTGAGATACACAAAGGGGGAGATAGACAGCTAGATAGAAAGTGAGTGAGACAGAGAGAGAGAGAGAGAGACAGAGAGACACGCGTGTCAGCGCGTGTGTCTCTTCTTCTCGGTCGACGTTAACATCTTTGACACATTGGTCCTAACGCTCGCGCGGATCAAACCGGACGCGCGTGTCCCTGCACTTTCGACCTCGAACTTGACCTTTATTTCTTTTGCGCGAGGTTTATTTCTTTTGCGTTTGGTTACGTTATCGCGCGTGACGGACGATAATAAAAGCAAGGTCCGAGCGATTATCGCTTGGAGATTTTACGTTGCGGTGGTCGCGTCGTCGCTTCGTCCACGCGCGTCCGCGTGATACGCACCGCGGTACAGTGCAAAATGTCGCTAGAACGGGGGCTCAGTCGTCTCCCTCTTGCAAAGAGTACTTAAATACCAACGGGGTAGCGCGGTAGCTAAACCCTCCGCAGCTCGCGCGTCGGGGTAAACACGTTTCTTCTTGGTTTATTAACCGGTGACGCGAAGTGGCGATGATGAAGTATAGCGATTAAAGGGCAAGTCCTTACCAGCTCCTCGTCGTTCAGCGTCGCCCGCGGTACGGCGGATGTCAGGCCAGCGTTCCTCTTCGTCGCCGCCATGGTCTGGGAAAAGATAGAAATTAATGTGCATCTGACAATCGAGTGGCACCTTCCAGTCTCTCTATTTTATATAGGCATCGATAAAGTCCTGGGACTAAAAAATTGAAAGAAAAATAGAGAGAGAAAGAAAGAGAGAAAGGAGAATAGCACAGAGTGGATAAGAGAAAGAGAGAAGATCGAGGAACATGAAAAAAACGAGAGTGACCGAGAAGAAGAAGAAGTTCTCGTGGGGTGTTATTTACAAATATATCCGTTGACATCGAAGTCAACACACACAGAAAAGGTGATTGCTCATGAGTCGGAGCAATAGTGAAGTGACACGGCGAGAGAGACTGTCCTTTGTACGTGTGTGTGCAACGAGAATTTTATGCAATATATACAAAATATATATTCTAGAGTAGTAGTAACAAGAAGAAAATAGATATTTATATGTATATACATTCTTAATCAGAGTATATACACGAAGTACACTTCAAAGAAGCAAGTTCACATCGAGACTAAATTGCATCCGCCTTGACGAGCTCGTGAGAACTTGTGAGACAGAAAAAACAAGGAGGGTAAGAGAGAAACAGAGAGAGGGAGAGAAAGAGAGAGAAAGAAAGAAAGTACGAAAGATCAAAAGCTGAAGTAAGAGAAATCTTGTGACGTGAAGGAAGCGGTGTGACATTGCAGTCTCGCATGCCAAGTGAAATATCGATGAGGTCCAACTTCTATTTACAAGTTTCATGAAGCGCGTGAGTGTAGGTGCGACGCGTATATACACTCGCGGCCCTTCGCGCCGCGTGCCCAGAAGATTGTACCGCAAATGTTAAAGAAGCCTCTCTTCCTGGATCCTCTATATTTAACCCGCAAACTTATACAGTCGCGTGACATTTACGTATCTAGACAGGCACGCGCGCACACTCGCTTGCGAGGCGTTACATATTTAATGAGTCGTTCCGTGTGTAGCTACTGACCATGCGTTTGAGCATATTTTACGAACGTATCATCCCCCGGCAGCCGGAACTCCTCGCGAATCCGCGTAAATATTTGCGAACGCTAATATATTCACCGCGATTATACTCTCATGTCCGCGCGAATATAAGCGCCGGCCAACGAGCGCGAAACTCGCCATATCGCGAGTGTCAGCGCCGGAGTAATAAGATCGCGATCTCTCGAACATCCGGATTACAGACCGCGGTGTATCCCGAGACTCTAGGCGGAAATTGTACGAGAGGCTAATCAGAGGTCGACCCGGCTTAATAAGCTCGGGCTCTGTCCCACGTGGAGATGGATTTACATGTTCGATTGGAAATGGCGCGCGCGTCTATATGTGTATTCTCGCACGTAATAATATTGTACAAGGTCGTGAGAGAGACGGAGAGAGATAGAGAGAGAGAGAGAAATTAGAATCGGTGAGACAGGTGGAGAGAAAGACGAAGAGAACAGAGTGAGTGTAGACGAGCGAGAAGCGAATCAGTCGGAAATGTAAAGAAATGTGAAAATCAGATGGCGGAATAACAAGATGAGAAAGAGACAAAATACGAGAAAATAGAGTGAGAGCAAGAGACAGAGTAAGAGAAAGACGGAGAAATAGATAAATAGAGAGAGAAAGAGAGAGAGAGAGAGAGAGGGAGAGAGAGTAGGTGAATCTCGACCGAGAGAAAATCTAATCCAATTAGCTTATGGCGTCTGGTAGGTGCGGCGCGCCATAGGATTTGTGGTTAGCATAGATTTCAATTAAGATATTATGCACGGAGCCTCCGCGAACCGTGCCACGCGCCATTGTTTCGTCCCGATAATCGGACGTTAATTCCACGCGCGCGCTAATCTCGTTTTTATCGCTCGCTGTAACCAGCGCTATCGTCCCGTTATTGTTTTCTCTCTTCTTTTTATTCGACTCTTATTTCCCTTTTTTATCGCGCGTTAGCCGTCCCTCGATCGGGAAGAAAGGGACGCGATGCTACGACGACGTGGCGGTGCGAGGTGGCACCGTGGCAATTCAATCTCGTCTCTCGCGAGAGAGACAGAGAGAGAGAGAGTCCCGAGTGATGTCATTTCTTAACGATATCGTCGGCGCCCATCCTCCTTCCACGCTGCACTCCACCCGCAAACGCTTTTCCCCGGCCCCGATGGAAAGCGTTTGCGAGCGAACGAGTGAGCGCGAGAAAGGCGGAGGAAGGATCGAGAGCGTCAAAGGAAGCTCTCGTTTTAAACGAATTGCCTTTAAGCTCCACCATCGAGACATCTACTTACAGCTACCCGATATTTCTCCTCGCTATTCGCAACACGTATCACTACTAGCCAAGCCACCCACAAGGCACTCGTGCGAAATGCCGACGATACCGGTGGGAGGGACAGCGAACGTACGATTCCGCATGCAAGGTGGGAGAAAGAGATAATCGGTGTAAGATCGGTGGAAGAAGAAAATCATTTTATCTGACGGGACTGATCGCTTCTTCTATTCCGAGAGACAGAGAGATTAGCGGTAATCGCTAGGCGATCGCAGATTAAGTTGAAGCGCACGCGAAACGGAGAAAAAGAGAAGGAAAGAGAGAGACAGAGAGAGAGAGAGAGAGAGGGGAAGTCCCCGATTGATTATTCCTCTAGAGTTTAGTTGGACGATTCATCGGTGAAAAGCGCGCCTTTTTTTATCTCTCTTTTTCTCTCGTTCTTTCTCATTGGAAACGTAATTTATACATCCACATGCGAAATACATGATTACAAATAAGCCATTAAAAAGCACAAAAACAATGCGTCTCGTTGATGCGCAAACATTGCCGGTCTTCAATTATACGGATCAAAACACTCAGAACAGCTTTAATTTAACGAGTCGCTGGAGACCCGCTGCATGCCGTTTTCCTCGCACTCGATATTTTATTCGCAGAAAATAGAAATTGCATGTGCTGCGGATAACGCAATTACTCTGACTTCTATCTACTAACGACTAGTACACGTGTAACGGACTCGTATCAAATTAGAGATGTAATCAAAAAGTTTCCGCGGCGTTGATTCCGCCGGCTTCGCCGAGAAGGCGGCATGGGCGCACGCAGCTTTCAACGATTCGCAATGAGAGGGCATGCACATCATCGTCACAGCGGAAAATCAGCGGAAAAGGGAATCAGCGCGCGTGTCTGAACTTTAGATACATCGAAATGAAAAGCAGAAGAAGAACGAGAAGAGAAAGAAAGAAAGAAGAGATCGAGTAACCGGGGAGAAACAAGGAATCGTGAGCAATCGTGGAATGTGCACGAAAGGAGGACAGAATACCAAAGTAAAATGGTGTCAACGTCAGCCAGTGCGAACGGAGTCCAAAAGTGAAAAAAAGAAGAAAATTGTGCATGCACAAAAACGTTCGAACAAGCGTTCAATCGATTTGGAGGCATTTAATTAGTACCTTCAAGACCTGGAGGTAGAGTTTTTGAGATTTTTTGAGAGGTTTTTTTCAGTGAGTGGTTTTGTTTTTCAGGTGTTCAGGTGGATACAACAACGGGCGCCACAGAGAACAAACAGAGAAAATAGCATTATATGCCGGTTAGTACGTGTATCGCTGTTGTGGCTTTTCTTTTTTTCTTTTTTTAATTACGATCCGCATATGAGTGTACTTTATAAAAGTTAGACACAAGAGAGGCAACAAAGACGATGTTAATGGACGTTAATTAGGACCGACCATCACACCACGGAGAGATAAAATGCGCGAGCGGGACAAGAGAATGCGAAACTCGCGCGCCACCTTGCGTAAGAAAAAGATGGCGAAGAACGTCGCGTCGGGGACGCGCGTGCGCGCATCAATGATGATTCGCGTTCCGGGAATTTATGTCTCCGTGGTGAATTCGGACGCCGGCGAAATTACTGGGCGATAATCGCGTTTCACGTGCGGTCAGTCAATTTTCGCATCGCTGATGCTGGCCGACGGTGCATGGTCACCGCCGCGAATTTTTCCGACGCAAGCGCACACCGCGCTATTATAACCCAGTAATCTTTCCGCGCTTTTCATGGACTGCCTGGACATTTTTGTTCTCGCGCGACGTAATGTCGCACAGCAATCGGTAAAAGACGTAAAAATACGTCGCGAATCCTCATATAGGATCCCCGAGTTGTACAAGACACAGCAATCATATATGTAAATATATATATATATATATATATATATATATATATATATATATATATATATATATATATATATATATATATATGTGTGTATA